TGTGTGTGTGTGTGTGTGTGTGTGTGTGTGTGTGTGTGTGTGTGTGTGTGTGTGTCGAGTCAGGGTTTCAGTGGCGCACTTATTAGTGGAGGAGCCTGCTAAAGTTGGATGGAAACATTTCTCTTTCGTGGTTTTCATAATACAACTTCGCCTCGGGGTCACTGCCGTGTCTCTGTGACTCAGAGACCACACCTAAACTCACAAAGAAACATAAGTGTAACGTGATTATAAACTTAATTGAGTCAGAAAGGAAACATGTCTACAGCTATGAATGTCTTTTAGGCGTATCATTTAGATTTAGGGTTTGCCTTTTAGGATGGTGCCCTGGTCACGAAAAGACTCAACAAAACTAAAACCAGTTATGGAAATCCTTAATTCCCCTTTTAAATCTCACTATGCTAAAATATTTTCGTTATTTAATCCTAACCTAATCAAAACCGTTATCGTTTTTGTTTTTTATAAACTCACAAGCGTGCGTATACTAAAATACATATGGACGTTTTCATGTATCGTAACAGGCTAATGCTAGCATGCTAAAATGGTGCATGAAAAAAGTCAGCTTATTTCTGCTGCTGTATACAGAAGATGTTGATATGCTAACTGTAGCCACGTTAACTTGTTCAAGGCTTAGCATGTTCAAATCTGACTTACATGTTGCCTATGAGTTTGTTAGCTAACCTAAATGCTTTGAAAGCTGGAAGCATAAGTTCACTGCGGATGTTGTCGTTTTGGCAGTGATGTTAGGGTGCACATTTAACAGCATACGACGCGCTAATGAGGCCAAGCAGGTGACCGCATTGTCCTTGCAGAAAAGTAAAGCTAGCTACTGTATATCCCAGTAGCGCTCATATGTATGCTAAGCTAGGTTAACATACTTATTACAGCACTCACAGACATGAATTTGATTAAGTTTTTCATCTCAGTTACCTTTTTTTTACCTTTTACCTGTTAGCTAAACTGTTAAATAGCTTTAAACCCATCACATGACAATGGTAATATTATTAACCAGACATCTATAGCCACACCTCTGAGATTGCAGTGTTTAAATTGCCTTCAAACCAACTGTAATCGATACCAGTTGAATCACTTCACTTAAGTATCACATAGTCATCC